ACCCACCGATGTGCCCAGCAGCCACACTGCCCTACGTCCCACCCACAACAGTGCACAACCACCCACCCAACTGCCTACCCTTCTGTCTCTTCCGCCCTGCTCCCCGTCCGCCCATCCACCGTTCCTCCCACACACCCTCCTCCCACCAAACCACCACGCCCCCTCACTCGCGCGCACGCGAGCGCCCGCTGTGATCGAGGGCTAAATGGTGCGTTCATCTTTTGTTGCAGGGATCTACGAACTTCCCTCTGGTAAGTGCTGCCGCCGCCTCTGGCGTCATTGCTCTGCGCGCGTGGCGTGTAGCGTTTGACTAGTAATTAGGTAAGTGCTGCGAGTGTTGGTGCGTGTTCGGCCATCAGCAGACAAATGAGGTACAAGTGAAATAAACATGCTGTGCTGTGGAGCGAAATGCGCGGCACTGGCAGGAAAATCAATAATGGGGGCAGTGTTGTTCGAATTCACTGTGTTGTTTCCCAAGTAATTTCTTTTATTTACATATTGGTTATGTGGTTAATTACAATTAACTTATTGCGTAAACTTGTATGCAATCGATTATTGACAAGTGTAAATAAGATTTTGAAGGTTTATGAAAGAAAAAACACGTAATTGTTTTAAATTTTGGTAGTGGTATTAATTTGACAAAAAATATAATCAGTTAAGTTTTTAGAGTGCTAATATTCTAATAATGCTGTACCAACTTGTCTTTTTCGTCGTTTAGAGATGATATGAAGAAGCCGGAAGAATTACAATTCTCAAGCTGAATAATTTCACGAAATTTGTATTGTTCTTTGACAAATATTTGTTGGTGAAAGTGAAATAAATAGTTATAAGTTGGTAGAGTTTCAAATTTGTCAAATTATGTACCTGTGCAAGTTTCTCTGATATGTGATCTGAAGTATGTGATACAAAAAAAACTGACTAAATGCAATGACTAAATTCATATCACTGTTCAGTATTCAATAAGAGATAAAGTATACTTTCATATATTTCGTGCTACATACCCTTCTTTCGTAAAAAAGATTAAAATAGTTCATGAAGTCACTGATTGCGACTTTTAAAGAACGTTGGTGGTAAACAGAGATGGATTTTACAATTTCTCACGTTCTGCGAAATATAATTATTTTGTAACTTGGTCAAATATTTATAACATTAGGTAAACGGTCTCTCAGTTTTATATGTCCAGGCCGAAAGCATGTATGCCACAACAAAGCCTACAAAATAAATTTCTAAACGTTTGACCTTGGAGGGTTTCTCCATCGTATTAAAGCCGCGCTTATAGCAACGCTTCGTACGAGGGTTAGACAACTTCGAAAACAGAAAAAATATACTTACTGTCTTCTCTTAAACTAAAAGAAATGCATCCTAAATATAATCTGATCAGTAGGGGGCAAATTTTAATAAAATGTAATTTATTTATTTTCCCTTTGGATCAATGCCTTGTAGTACATACGTCAGTTTTATGTTATAACAAAAGCAAATGGCAAGTTTTAATGATTTTGTTATGCATTTTCTTCTCTTTTTTCTAATAAGTCATTTTTTACTAATTTTAAGATGTTGAGATGCAAAAAATGTTCTCTGCATAAGTCCTAAGTAGCCTATTCGATTTCGTCATTCAGAGATTATAATGTCAGTCGATGTGAGTATGTAATGTAAGGTTCCTGTGACGCTTACCAGTAGCTTTGTCGTTTCGGCTCATTTCGCGAATACTCAAGACAGATTTTCTAGTAAAGATACAAACCAAGTTTGACAGCTTAGTTCCCTTGAACGAAAGGGAGAAGACTTGGCTACATCAACAACATATCCAACATTTAAACACGTTTTGATAAAAAATACGTCTTTTTTCTTTGCTTTTAGGGCATTTTTAAAGGATTTTAAGAGCATTTTATTGATCACTTTTCGATCATTGGGTTTTAGGTCATTAAAATCCACCCGTTACTCATCAGTCTTAATGCTCCGGACTCCCGAACATTTGCGCTTCATTTCATTATCCCACTCCCACATATTCGTTGAACATGCAGCACCTGGCGCGCGGTAAGCCCGCGGCAAATCACCCGCAAATCTGCGCCTCCGCCTCATCATCTCCCTTGGGAGCGACGCGGCTTCAGCCGGCGTGGAGAGCGAGTCGGCGGGCGGCAACTTGCACGGCGCGTCCGCGGCGAGTGCTCGGCCGAGGGAATAGGAAATTGCAGGCGGAGGCTGCGACGCGCAAATCCCGGCGGCCGCAGTTTCCTTGCGCGCGCGACGCGGCACTGCCCGCGCTGATGAAACAAACAGGACGAGGCCCAGACCGACTCGGCAGCTCGCCACACACATCAAGGGGCAGCGCGGGCCCCGCGTCGCCTGCAACATTGAAGGCCC